TCACATTGTAGAAACTGAAAAAAAGTTTGCCTGAAGTTTCTTGCCCCAAAAAGCCAAAATTTTAAGAATATAATCAAACTCGTTTAATGATTCTGCTGTTTAATTGAAATTGAAATATATAACGAAAAATATTGTAATCAAATAGTTTTTCAAACATAGGGAGTGTAGGTATCTACACAAAAAGAAATCGCAGACATTTAGGTCGGGAGACCGAGGGACCAACTAATCCCAGGTAGCACATCATATTGGCTGGAACCCGATTTCATATTGGGCCGATATAGATATATCGTACATGTGAAAAATAATATAGGTCCAATATGAGAGTATATTGGACAAACAATATTGGAATGATAATATTGGTGGAATATTGGTTCAACCTGAGCTGAATATGGATTGTCAGCTACAATATTGGAGCAATATTGGTTGTAAAATTCGTTAACAATGTGTTGAAAAACATATCTATGAATGTTATATAATATTGTTTTACGAATGTCGATACAACAACATCGTATACATATTGTTCCCGACATTCACAACCAATATTGCAATTTGAACATTCTCCCCATGTCGATTCTGAAGCGGTTATGCAATATTGTATTTTCAAGTTAAACGGCATATCGGTTGGATATTGTTTTAACAATATTTGAAACATTATATTCACCCATCTTGATTGATATCATTTTATCTATATCATGCGGAAGATATCGTATACAATTTGCTTCTTACATCTATAACCAATATCGCGATTTGAATATTGTCCCCATGTTGATTCTGAAGCGGTTGTGCAATATTGTATATTTGAGTTCGAAGGCATATTGGTTGAATATTGTTTCAACAATATTCGAAATATCATATTCACCAATCTTGATTAATATCATTCTATCCATATCATGCGGAAGATATCGTATACATATTGTTTCCAACAATTATAATCAATATAGCAATTTGAACATTCTCCACATATCGATTCTGAAGGGGTTTTCAATGATTCAAATATGAATATCAATAACGGCAATTCAATATGTATCTTATATCGAACATAGAAGAGAAAAACAATATTGTATTTTCAAGTTCAATTGCATATCGGGTGAATAGTTTTCTAGCCATATTCAGAAAATAATATCATCTTATATTGGCTGATATGTGATTCACTATATCATGTAAGCAATATTGTTCACATATTGTTTTGAGAATACATATCGATATCGGAATTTCGATATTTATTCCATATTACGCACTCCTAAACCGATGTCGATAGATGGCGCTATAAATGATTGGTAACGTACTCTCATTGCCGATCCGACGAGAGAATTTAAATATTGGCTCTAGACGATTGTGAAGTATTATAACCTGGAGTAGGGGTTAACCGTGATCAACAAGGCGGCTTCCCAAGGGCAAGGCCCTCCCATTGCACTCCGGCTGGGCTGACCTTTGTGATTATTCCTGATGCGAATAACTCGCAAATATTGGTATGAAAATATTCCACCAATATTTTGGAGACAACATAGCTACATAATGATTTTCAATAATGTACCAATATTCCCAACCAATATTGCACCAATATAACTTCACGAATATACCAGCAATATTGGTATGAGAATATTCAACCAATATTTCTGAGACAACATACCTTCATGATGATTTCCAATGATTCACCGATATTTCCATATATTACATCAATATTGCCGAATGTTCACCATTAATTTCTCGCCAATATTGATATTACATTTTGTGTCCGATATTACTCTACGAATATTCAACCAATATTAATATGAGAATATTCTACCCACATTCGGAAACTGATATTGTACCAATATCGCCGAATGTTCACATTTTTTTTCTCGCCAATATTACTTTCACAATATTTTGCCGATATTTTCGTAATATTGCACCGATATTGTCCCAATATATGTGTGCTACTTGGGATATTCTTATTTCGAGAAGAGATACCCCCTGGGATCGAGGAGGACCTCTTGATATCGCTTGTTGAACACATTTATTCATAAAAGTCCTATTTTTTAAGATAAACGAACGTGTGTACGAACTACGAACCTCTGAAATTTGGCGGCAAATTCAGTAACTTTGTCATCCATATTTATGACGTTTATCCTTCAATGAGACAGATTTTCATGAGAAATTGAACAATATTTGATTTCTGCAGCTTGTCAGTTTTCTAGTGGGTAGCAGTGTATTTCGGTCTGAACCTCCAGCCAGACCTATTTATCCTCTTATTTTTATTGACTCGATGCGACTGCGATTCACTTTTATAAGCTCCTAACCGATAGATACATCGGCCTATCTTCGATAATATTGAGTCGTTCTCGTTCCTTCCGGACTTTTTCCTCTCTCTTCCGGAAAATTTATATCTCGCTTTTCGGATAGTGTTTTTTTGTTCGGCGACGGCTGCGGCATTTTTCATTTTCGCCGTCCCTTTTGTCGAACTTCTTGCCGTTCATCAAGAATGCGCTGGTCTGCTCTTGATGTAATAATATTCAAATTCGTGGGGGTAGATGTGACGGTCTGAATGGGAGAAAAAATAACTCGATGAGGGAGATATAATCTGGCTCAGTTACGGGTAATTTCTTATTTCTTTCGTTCGAAATTCATGTAAATGTTATTGAGATCATTGACAATGCTACCAAAACAACCCCGAATGATCAAATGTCTACATAAATGAGATCTCCAATGTAATTTTTTATCATTCCAGGACTCACAAACACACAAACTATATATATATATATATATATACCGGGTGTTAACGAATCTATTAGACAGGTCATAACTTCTAGACCATTGGGTATATCAAAATGAGATTTGATATAGGTATATACTGTACTGTACTGTATATTTCAACATTTTTGAATTTCTGAGACAATTCTAGATCAGAATGTGACATTTTCGAAAGTTTTTATGCCTACTTAATTTTTTCGGAGTCACTTTTGAAATTACATCTAGGTGGCCATGATCGGAAATTAACTAATCTAAGGACCTCAGGTGATATTAGAAAATTACAATCGCGAAGTTTTAGTGACAAGTATGATAGATATACAAGTTGGCAAAATTACATTTTTGTGTCTAACTATTATTTTTCAAATGGCGACCATTTTTTGACAAGCACTTTCCGAAAGAAGGATATTTCGACGAATCTAACGATACTAATTTATTTACGATTGGATCAACAAATTTAACAAAATTAACAATAACTTCAGCGATGCACTTAAATTTTTTCCAATTTTCTAATTTCTTAAAATTTTCACTATAATTAATTTTCAAAGTGCATTCCTCCTTGTTCAAGACACATTTCAGCTCGTTCAATTGTTTCTCTCAATACGTTTCCTAACGTTTGTTATACTTCTAAATGCCTGTAGAATCCTTTCACCTATGATTTCGAGAGTGTGTGGGGCTGTTGCATAGTAGACCCTTTCTTTAACATATCCCCGAGCATATCCCCAAATGAAGAAATCTATCACAGTCAGATCCGGTGAGCGGGCAGGCCACCGTAGTGGTCCATTGGTTGCAATAACTTGATTATTGAAATGCTCTATCAAAGTAATCAAGAACGTATCTGGTATTATGAGGAGGTGCTCCATCTTGTTGGAAGTAAATTCGCCTTGAAACTGCTGAAGGTATATTATTAAGATGATCCTCGATTTCATTTTGAAGGAAACCTGAGTTCCTAACCCCTGTTAACTGACCTTGAAATAATATTGTCCAATTATTCTGTTTCCAACGATACCAGCCCAGACCTATCTTGAAAATTGCCCTCTCTCATTGCATGTTAATCAAGTAGGCATAAAAACTTCCGAAAATGTCATATTCTGATCTAAAATTGTCTCAGAAATCCAGAAATGTTACAATATACAGGGTGTTCCATTTAAAAATTCAGAACCGGAGCCATTTCCGGTGGAACCAGAAGTGACCGGAAAATGGAAAATATGTGAAAACTCTCCTCTTCACATACCATTTACCTATACCAAATCTCATTCTGATACACCTAATGGTCTAGAAGTTATGACTTGTCTAATAGATTCGTTGACACCCGGTATAGTATAAGGCCAATTCACTAATTACGACCCATGAATTCTCCATAGAAAACACCATTTGGCGATGACATGAGACGAGATGATTTTTTTTAACGATCAAGAGGGTGAAAAAATTATGAGAGTTTGCTCGGTAGCATATTATCGCATTACAAATGACAGTTTATTGCGGTTTGAATTTGGAAATTGTTGAAATTTTCCTATGACCAGGCATGTATTATTCAGGCATGTATTATTCTTCTGGTATGGAAAATTCACAAGTTGAGCCGTTTTGGGGAAACTTTGCCTTAAGAAATAATATTTTCAATGAAGAATTCCGATATAAACAGGAATTATTTGAACAATTCCTAAAAAATAGGGTCAATTGATTGATTTTTTCCTGCTCTTTTTAAATATCAAAAGAGATTCACAAAATTTTGCCACACAGAGTATATTTTTTTAAATAAAAGAAGTTGTCTGTTCTTCCTTAAGACGGACCTGAATTCTAATCTCGATTTTTATTTAGTTTTGATGGGTAATATAAGTGGAATATATCTACCAAGTATATGGATAGCTTTTAGAAAGTACGGTTCAAGAATCATGACCAGATGAAAATTTTTACAAAATCAAGATAACGTCATGTATCTCAGGTTATTTGAAACTATTCTGTCTGCAAGTATCGTATTTACATCTAAATCTGAAACACCCGTCTTGCCAAAAAACACACGAACTTTTTTTCATTGGATGGAGTCCCTTACATACTCATAAAGTTTCCATCAGTATCAGTAATTCCACTCAAAGAGAAAAGTGTTCGACAGTCTCGCAATTTGAAAATTTGGCAAAATTAATTCATCCGATAAAAAAACTATTGTGTTTTCATTGTTGATAAAACATCTTGGTGCCACAAAAAACAACAATGATGAATAGTTTGATAACAAATGTATTTTTAAAGGTATCTATAATATTGTATTTTTGTTTCAGGATATTATCGGACAATAATCTGGAGTTTATCCATCCGAATTCATTCTCGAAGAATTTATTCCTCAAGAGACTGTAAGTATTAATGAAATTCTTCAATTCCGCAGTAAAATAGATATATTTTCAATATCCATGACTGGAATGCGACACTTTGTCAATCTCCTTTGAAACGAGACGCCAATTACTGATACTCTCCCCTCGTTAGGGTACCTGTCATGTTCCCATATGACTTCCTCTCAGCTAACACTTATTTCAGTGCTGATTCACCAGAATTACAAAATGAATACAGTTTTCGATTGTATTGACTTTCACAGGGTGTATAATGAAACCGTTTTTCTATGGTCTCGATTGATGATTGATGCTACCAGGCCTCTGAAAAATTTTAAATACTGGTTGTCGAAGTAGAGTGAAATTCGAATTCTGGGTTATTATGAAAAAATAATCACTGAGTCACTTTCTGTGTTAATTTTTCAAAATATTAATAGGACAATGAATACCTACAACTAAATTCATTCTGCGACTGAATCAAAATAGCGTTGAAACCTCACAAGTAGCCATGAATAAATGACGATTGACCGTACGATGTGCCCACTCAATCATACCTAACCATAACAAATTCCATAACACTCTGTTAACCGACATAATGGCATTATACGTTCAATATGGTACGCATGTATATTCATTATGATTCTTGGATTGGAATACCGATTCCGGCCATTCATTACGGCCTGTCCTATCAATATATCCACAATATTGTATGGCGGCTCTGCTGAATTGAATTTACGAGGTTATGAGGTTGTGACCAACGTGTATTGTATGGTGGGAAAATCAGTGGGGCGTTGTCGGGATCACGAGATGTCTGCAATAATAACAGGGTGGACAAGTTGAAAAGTTTTGTTGGCATTAGTCCAATCAGTAAATTATTGCCTGAAGGGTGCATGGGGGAAGAATTTTTGACATCAGTAAAGGGTTTGGGGTTGTCAGGAGGTAAACATCCTTATAATTTCCGATTCTGAAGAAGGTGAGCTGAGTGTACGAAACTTCCGGGAGGCCTGAAATTTCGACTTCCTGTTCATCTGTAACTACACTCAAAGTATTCTATCTTCAACCATCTGAATACGTAATGAAAAAAAAAACAAACATGTTCAGAGTCTACAATGAGAAGTTATTGCAATATAGACAATTCCACGGGGAATGTTCCTCAGGAAACTCTGCTTTAATTCCATCGCTAGGAATGCCAGTCAGATGAAGTAGACAGGCCCAGTCAGCTCATCCTTTTATCGTTAACCTTGCAATGAGTCGAACAACACACTACCAAAACTCGTCCGTCTATAGAACTGCGGGTCTTTGGAATTCTTTGCCAATGGAAGTATTTTTCTAGATTTTTTTGATCTGCTGTTCTCGTCTTTTTCCCCAAGATATCACTGTACATGAATGTTGAACCTCGAAAACCTAGAAAAGAGTAAAATCATCATTCCGAAAATGTTTTGCATATTTTGCAGAGTGACTCCCGAGGTGGCTCGTTAAATGGGAATCATCAACCGTATGTATATGAGCCTACTGCATTGCTTGAACCGCTGATTTTGAAAATCTAAAGGGAGAGTTATCTATCGGATCTGACATCAAATTCTCTCTTTATGGGTCTGAATTAGTGTCTATGAATTTTTTTGGATTATTAGGGCAATCAGGAAAAAAATATTTTTTCACCAATACTGCATTATTGCTTGAACCGCTGATTTTGAAAATCTAAAGGGAGAGTTATCTATCGGATCTGACATCAAATTCTCTTTTTATGGGTCTGAATTAGTGATTATGAATTTTTTTGGATTTTTAAGGCAATCAGGAAAAAAATATTTTTTCACCTATATGAGCCTCACTGCATTGCTTGAACCGCTGATTTTGAAAATCTGAAGGAAGAGTTATCTATCGAATCTGACATCAAATTCTCTCTTTGTGGGTCTGAATTAGTGTCTATGAATATTTTGGGATTTTTAGGGCAATCAGGAAAAAAATATTTTCTCACCTATTATCGAATCTGACATCAAATTCTCTCTTTGTGGGTCTGAATTAGTGTCTATGAATATTTTGAGATTTTTAGGGCAATCAGGAAAAAAATATTTTTTCACCTATATGAGCCTTACTGCATTGCTTGAACCGCTGATTTTGAAAATCTGAAGGAAGAGTTATCTATCGAATCTGACATCAAATTCTCTCTTTGTGGGTCTGAATTAGTGTGTATGAATTTTTTGGGATTTTTAGGGCAATCAGGAAAAAAATATTTTTTCACCTATATGAGCCTTACTGCATTGCTTGAACCGCTGATTTTGAAAATCTGAAGGAAGAGTTATCTATCGAATCTGACATCAAATTCTCTCTTTGTGGGTCTGAATTAGTGTCTATGAATATTTTGGGATTTTTAGGGCAATCAGGAAAAAAATATTTTTTCACCTATATGAGCCTTACTGCATTGCTTGAACCGCTGATTTTGAAAATCTAAAGGAAAAGTTATCTATCGAATCTGACATCAAATTCTCTCTCTATGGGTCTGAATTAGTGTCAATGAATTTTTTTTGGTTTTTTGGGCAATCAGGAAAAAAATATTTTTTCACCTATATGAGCCTTACTGCATTGCTTGAACCGCTGATTTTGAAAATCTGAAGGAAGAGTTATCTATCGAATCTGACATCAAATTCTCTCTTTGTGGGTCTGAATTAGTGTGTATGAATTTTTTTGGATTTTTAGGGCAATCAGGAAAAAAATATTTTTTCACCTATATGAGCCTTACTGCATTGCTTGAACCGCTGATTTTGAAAATCTAAAGGAAGAGTTATCTATCGAATCTGACATCAAATTCTCTCTCTATGGGTCTGAATTAGTGTCTATGAATTTTTTTGGATTTTTAGGGCAATCAGGAAAAAAATATTTTTTCACCTATATGAGCCTTACTGCATTGCTTGAACCGCTGATTTTGAAAATCTGAAGGAAGAGTTATCTATCGAATCTGACATCAAATTCTCTCTTTGTGGGTCTGAATTAGTATCTATGAATATTTTGGGATTTTTAGGGCAATCAGGAAAAAAATATTTTTTCACCAATATGAGCCTTACTGCATTGCTTGAACCGCTGATTTTGAAAATCTAAAGGAAGAGTTATCTATCGAATCTGACATCAAATTCTCTCTCTATGGGTCTGAATTAGTGTCTATGAATTTTTTTGGATTTTTAGGGCAATCAGGAAAAAAATATTTTTTCACCTATATGAGCCTTACTGCATTGCTTGAACCGCTGATTTTGAAAATCTGAAGGAAGAGTTATCTATCGAATCTGACATCAAATTCTCTCTTTGTGGGTCTGAATTAGTGTGTATGAATTTTTTGGGATTTTTAGGGCAATCAGGAAAAAAATATTTTTTCACCTATATGAGCCTTACTGCATTGCTTGAACCGCTGATATTGAAAATCTGAAGGAAGAGTTATCTATCGAATCTGACATCAAATTCTCTCTTTGTGGGTCTGAATTAGTGTGTATGAATTTTTTGGGATTTTTAGGGCAATCAGGAAAAAAATATTTTTTCACCTATATGAGCCTTATTACTGCATTGCTTGAACCGCTGATTTTGAAAATCTGAAGGAAGAGTTATCTATCGAATCTGACATCAAATTCTCTCTTTGTGGGTCTGAATTAGTGTGTAAGAATTTTTTGGGATTTTTAGGGCAATCAGGAAAAAAATATTTTTTCACCTATATGAGCCTTACTGCATTGCTTGAACCGCTGATTTTGAAAATATGAAGGAAGAGTTATCTATCGAATCTGACATCAAATTCTCTCTTTGTGGGTCTGAATTAGTGTCTATGAATATTTTTGGGATTTTTAGGGCAATCAGGAAAAAAATATTTTTTCACCTATATGAGCCTTACTGCATTGCTTGAACCGCTGATTTTGAAAATCTGAAGGAAGAGTTATCTATCGAATCTGACATCAAATTCTCTCTTTGTGGGTCTGAATTAGTGTGTATGAATTTTTTGGGATTTTTAGGGCAATCAGGAAAAAGATATTTTTTCACCTATATGAGCCTTACTGCATTGCTTGAACCGCTGATTTTGAAAATCTGAAGGAAGAGTTATCTATCGAATCTGACATCAAATTCTCTCTTTATGGGTCTGAATTAGTGTCTATGAATTTTTTTGGATTTTTAGGGCAATCAGGAAAAAAATTTTTTTTCACCTATATGAGCCTTACTGCATTGCTTGAACCGCTGATTTTGAAAATCTGAAGGAAGAGTTATCTATCGAATCTGACATCAAATTCTCTCTTTGTGGGTCTGAATTAGTGTCTATGAATATTTTTGGATTTTTAGGGCAATCAGGAAAAAAATATTTTTTCACCTATATGAGCCTTACTGCATTGCTTGAACCGCTGATTTTGAAAATCTAAAGGAAGAGTTATCTATCGAATCTGACATCAAATTCTCTCTTTATGAATCTGAATTAGTGTCTATGAATTTTTTTGGATTTTTAGGTCAATCAGGAAAAAAATATTTTTTCACCTATATGATCCTTACTGCATTGCTTGAACCGCTGATTTTGAAAATCTAAAGGAAGAGTTATCTATCGAATCTGACATCAAATTCTCTCTCTATGGGTCTGAATTAGTGTCTATGAATTTTTTTGGATTTTTAGGGCAATCAGGAAAAAAATATTTTTTCACCTATATGAGCCTTACTGCATTGCTTGAACCGCTGATTTTGAAAATCTGAAGGAAGAGTTATCTATCGAATCTGACATCAAATTCTCTCTTTGTGGGTCTGAATTAGTGTGTATGAATTTTTTGGGATTTTTAGGGCAATCAGGAAAAAAATATTTTTTCACCTATATGAGCCTTACTGCATTGCTTGAACCGCTGATTTTGAAAATCTGAAGGAAGAGTTATCTATCGAATCTGACATCAAATTCTCTCTTTGTGGGTCTGAATTAGTGTGTATGAATTTTTTGGGATTTTTAGGGCAATCAGGAAAAAAATATTTTTTCACCTATATGAGCCTTATTACTGCATTGCTTGAACCGCTGATTTTGAAAA